CAGCAGCAGCAAGGTTGTTTTTTCCTAGCTGCTGCAGTAGCTATTATAGTTTATTATACTAGCCACAGTACCTTGGAAACCCAATCCAAAGTCGAGCCCTGTTGTTTCAGGCACCCTACAGACTAACAGTAAGGATAAAAAACCCAAATCCTCGCTACCTTTGACAGCTTGTAGTCTAGTTTTAAGGTTGAATGCAATGAGTAGATAAAACAGACAAATAGATTAGGGAAGGTAAGGTTATAAAACAGGTCCATAAATTAAAAGCAGAAGTCTTGGTTCACTGTCTTTCTAACTATTTTATTTACTTGCTAAATGCCATTTTGACTTTCTTGCTTCCCCAAATTTACACTTAAAATGTGACTGTGGTGCACATCTGTTCTAAAATGCTTATTTACTACCACTCATGAGGTGCCGTTGCATGATGTGGCATTTATATTTTTAGAATATTTTCTGTTATTTTGATATAAGTGATGACAAAGCTTAATGGCTTTTTGCACTGGTATGAGACTGAGTATTCTTGAATTAAGTAGACAGGTAAAACAGTCAGGAAAATCTGCATATGCTTCAGTACTATCTATATGTGAATTCAAGTGACTTACCTTCTTTATGTCTTATTTGGGCATTTCAGATACCTAAATTGATACTTCATTAATAGAATTATAATTTCTGCTGTAAGTAGTTGTGAATGTCTGTGAACATGTAAAGGAAGGGAAAATTAGATTCTAATTCTTTTAGTTTTAATCACGTTTATATCATTTTTAAGATACATTTGCCTTGCATTCAGTGGTGCTCATCTATTTTTCTATTGTTCATACCTATAGTATGTTCTAATTTTGAGAAAATGCAAGTTCTTGAATTAAAGGATGATATTCATAATGTGAACGAGGCTATGTTATGCCTGGAAAGAAAGTAAAGACCTCGATTTAGATTTTTTCTTACACTAAAAATCTGTTCTATTTTGTAGATCTTTGCAGCAGCATACTCTGATGTTGAATGGCTGTAGAAAAAGTAGATTCAGATATGGACTCTGATCAAGTTCACCTAGTAAACTGTACAAAATCCTCCTGTAAACAAAATCAATATTATGGTAATTTTTATAAAGAGTAGACAAATGTATAAGAAGAGGAAGGACACTTTCATAGCTTCTAATGGAATGTTGTGCACAAATTGATGGGCTAGCACTGACTCTGTGTCAGTATAGCATATGCTGAAGTGCAGAAAGATGTCAGATCACTACCTCATCTTAGAACTACTTGTTGGTGCAAAACTTCTGGAAAGCTAATAAATATGTATTGCATCCTAATGTAACCAGTTTCATGTGAGCTAGCTCAGCTGTTTCACCAGGGTATTTCAGTTCCAGAATTATCTTCCCAAAATTTAGACTTCCTCTGAATGACATGTCTAAATGCCAACATGACAGAAGTAGAATTGAAAATGTTTACTCCCAGCTGCTAACATGACTATTGCATAGCCCATTTTTCCTAATGCACCATGAAAAAAAGATTATAATTACATTGCTTTCTAGAAGTGCAAAAAGCAGGAGAACAGGACCATCTAATACCCAGTTAGAGACTTTTACAATAACTGGTTCTGATACTAATTCTAGAGCAGTCTATACGTAAGGATTTTTAAAATCTCGGTTTCTAGATTTTAGGACTTGTTCTGTTTCCCTGTACCTGATATTAACCTATATGAACCAGAAAACAGCAAAAATCTCTTCCATAATACAAAGGAGAGTCTGGATGAGTTAGGAAGTACAACTTAATTGTGAACATAATTGTACTTATAGTGGATAATTGCAATCGTAAGTCAAGCAAGACAGCTTCTAAAAGTTGGGTCAGATTTTTAATTCTGTGATCTAAATTATTAATGAGGATATTTTCATAAGCTTTCTGCATAAAAATTGACTTCATAACAGAGGGGTCAGCTGGTCTTGTCTTCTCACCTTTATGATTATCAGTGATAATCAGAACCTGTTTTCCAATAAATGTATGCTGTTTTTATGCATCCTGACATACACACCAAATGTAGGTAGTGAAATACTTACAAGCTTTATGAAGCAAAAATTATTCTGTAGGTTCTAGTTGAAAGAGTGATTTAATACCTTGGGAATGTTAAAACCATATTGAGTCAATTATGAAAAATCTAGTGCTACTTTTCACAGCGTGGCTGCAGTCAGGGAAAATGGTGTAATGCATAAAGAAAACAAGCGGGTCAGTACAAGAATGCATAATGCTATCAAATCAGTAGAGTTTCCACATCGGATAGACATCAGTATTGAATGCAATATATCTTGAGACTGATACAGTAGTAATATAAGAGGACTTGAGACAAGTGGTGAGGTTGATTAGAACTGTAAAGATTTTTATAAGAGGAGACTGAAAGGTTGAGATTATTTATGCAGAAGATGGATTGGAAACTTCTATAACCTGTCTCCTAAAGCAAGATTTAAGAGCCCATCCAGTGTCATCAAATAGAATAAATTCAAAACAGATAAACAAGACTTTTGTTTTTTACCTGAAACAGAAAGATATGACAGAATTCAAGGTCACAAAGATGGAAATTTAAGATAATTCAGGAAGACATTTGTCACCTTTTTCAATCAGATTTTTAAACAACAAACATATGAGGTTTTAGAAAAGACAAATAACTTTTAAAAAAAGAAGGGCCTGAAACAAACATATACTTCCACTGTAATAGTTTATTGCAACATATTGGGACGTGTCTTGGCTTGTTTGCATTATGAATACTGAGTAAAAGTCAGGATACTGGACAAAATGGGCAATTATTTATATTCATGATGACAGTTTCCCTTCAGATTGCAATCTGAATTCATTTGTTATAATTTCTCTCTCCTCTGTTTGTCAAGAAAAAAGAATGAATGGCAGTTCTGATTTCCCTTTCTGCCCCCAGCAAGTAGCTGTCATAGTTGTCTTTCAGAGATTCAAGGGGTCAAATATTTGGAAGCATCTTTCCTTTACATTTCATGCTCATGTTCTATGAACAGGTCTGGGACTACAGAAAGTATCTCATTCTGTGCTTCTTTTCTGGCATTTTGCTACTTTGATAAATAAGATATGGTATACTTTGCAATTTCAGGGATGCTCAGTTGGAAACACTTACTGGATGTGTTTAATTCTAAAAGCTCTCATATCTTGAAAATCGTTTTGCCTCCAAGTTGTCTCAATTTCTCTCTTTTGACAACTGTGTGGAGTCTTACCATACTAATGTGAAGAACTTACTACATTCATAAGAAGTTTGCTTCAAAAAAATACTTCTTTTAATAAGAGTGTCTCCTCCTACTAGTCCAATTTACAGAACAAACAAGTTCCAAACCTAAAATGTAACCCTTCTTGATTATGCCACTTGAATGTTGAACCAGAATTTGAATTCTGTAGCTGCTTTTTCTCTCCACAGAGATTCAAAATCTTAAATCCCATTTGTGTTAGCTGTCAAATTAGCAAGATATGGCCATGGTTAGAACTGCTTAAAGAGAGTTTCTGTTCTATGGAATTTTCTGGGGAAAAAAAAGGAAACATAATTCAGTTGCAGAATTAAAAGAATAAATACTGCTCTTACTTTATTCACTTGAACCATTCTGGTATTCATGCTGAGCTCTCAGGTGACACAGTTCAAACTTACCATGCTTATTCCCAGATATTTTTTATTTTTCATATCCTGGATGTTATTTTCTGGAGAATTTGAGCTGTAACCTTCCCAGAGACTGAGGATGATTAACCTGTATTTACCTGGAGAAATGAATACAGAATTTTAGCAGTTTTGATCAATGTCTATGGTTAGAAATTCAGGTTTCTTTCTGATTAATATTTTATCCTGTTTGCCCCTGTTTGGCTAAAACTTCTCCGTTAAAACAATATAAAGGGTCTGGGATTAAAATTCAAGTAAATCGGCAAAAAAAAGTGTGCTAAGGGAAGGAGAATTAATTTGAGGTTACTTGAGAGTGGTTGTTCCAACATGGAACATGGCAATGCTGGTTAGAGTGGTCTCAATACATATAGAAGGGAAGGTAGTAAGAGGCAAATCACAACGGCTCATAAAATATAGCATGACTTTGAACACTATGATAAAGAGGCTATTCAGTCTTGCTACTGTGCAGATACTTGTGCTAGTAAATCTACCAGATGCTGTTATGCTGTGAGGAAGGAAAGAAGCTGAAGGACATTCAGTCGGGCAAGGCCATAAGCAAGAGAATTTGGTAGTAGCCTGCACATATCTAGAAGGCTTTAGGGACTAAAATGGAGGCAAACTTATTGGTGTGATTCACGATTGTCTAACAAAGAATGATAAAATGAAATTAAGGGAGTGTCTATCAGGAAAATGATTGACTGGTGAGATTGTAATAAGCTGTGGACACACTCCCATGAGAACGTGAAGGACAGCCCATGAGCTGGAATTGTGAAAACTGCATTGACTAACAAGAAAATTTTATCAGTCCAATATGACCAAAGAAATAGAAGGAATGCTTTTATGAGAATACATGGTCATCTGTTGTACTCTGTTACATACTCTGAAGATGACTACTGAAATTTCTGTGGAAAAGTTGCTACTGATTCAGATCAGGGTGTATCAAGACCTTAGAGCTAATACAGGCCATGTTTGTCAGAGTAATTTGTCTGGGAACAAAGGTGGCAATGCACAAGGAATGGTTGTGCCAGTGCAAGGACCATAGGTCCTAGGGAAAATAGGTGTTCAGTCCACTTTTAGCTGTGTACAAGAAGTTATAGAAATGGGTTCACTGAATATCTGCTTTCCCTTATAGGAATAGTTAATGAGTTAATTAGTTATACTTGGGGGTGGGGGGTGATGGGGATATAGTATTCATGCCAGGATAACATTGTTGGTTTATGTAATTTTGTTTTATTCTATCAAAAAGACTGTTGTGTTCTATATTTGAAAATGTAGAACAGGAAAGTTTAATTTGATTTTCCTTGTTTGTCAAAAGGTTGCTTTATTGCCTTTTCTTCTTTTTTTTGTCTCAGATATCTCACTTACAAGGGCTGCAAGTGTGTGTGGAGCCCATCTTGTTCTCCCACAGAGTGTTGCTCTTCTGATGAAAAGGTTTCACCACATTAGGCGTGACTGGAGAGGAAGCCTCTCAAATGTGCTGCTGCCTGTCCTCTTTGTTGCACTGGCAATGGCCTTGTTTAGTGTGAAGCCACTGGCTATTGATTATCCTTCTCTCAAGATGACACCAAACCTTTATGACAATGCAGAATCCTTCTTTAGGTAAAGGGCTTATCTGTCACCTTCAGTGTCCAGGGTTCTGTGACCTTGAGTTCTCATATTTTAAAGACTATTTGTATTCTAGAAAGAATGATAGGTTACTTTTTACAATAGTTGTGTGGGTTTTTTCCAGGTGTTTACTTACACTTCTCCTTAATCTTCATTAGTGAAGCCTACCCATGACTTACACTTTTATAGTTTATTACAATAGAAAGATATAATTAGAAAAGCTTTGTGCAAAGGATTTTCTGTAGGAAAGGGCAAAGACTTTGGACAAGTTTGAACTCAAATCAATACCAGCCATGACCATTTATATGTAAATGCACATGTGTATTTGAACAAGCCTTTGCATGCTTCATTATAACTAGTTGCTTAGGTCTAAAGCTATTTTCTCAAAGTAATTCCTAGGTTTGAAAATATCACACAGTATTAGCAAAGCCTGATGCCCTTCTTACTCAACCTAGTTTCTATATGTTCAGCTTTGAAACCAACTAGATTATTTATTTATTTATTTATTTATTTATTTATTTATTTATTTATTTATTTATTTATTTATTTATTTATTTATTTATTTTTAAGGTATCGTATCCATAACTCAGCTCTGAACTAATCTATATTGAGTGCATATCACAAGTAGATCACTTTTTCTACTGGGCAAATATACAGATAAACATAACATGATACCGTTTGCATTTAAACAAATGAATGAAACATAAAAGCACTTAAACCATGCTAGCTGTTAGGAATGCATGCTTATAAAGAGAAAGATGGGCGTGGGGAGACCTTATTTGTTTAGCCATAATTGTTATTGGATTTTCTTTACACGTTCACATGCAGTGTTTTGAAATTATATAATTCTGGTATGTTTCCTATGCATGGATTTTATAATAGAGTCAGACGTATTGGCATGCCTTTATTTCTTTTTCTTTTTTTTTTTTCCCTTCTCCTCTATTCCTTACCCCCACGGCCCACTTTGAACAGCACTGAAGATGATAACTTAGAAAACCTTTCTGAAGTTCTACTGGGTTATTTCTCTGACTGGAACCACACGTGCATGCATTCACGACGGTAATTGTGAATAACGTAACTACTTCCTTAATTGTAAATATTGTAAATTCAATATTTTTTGTGCAATGTGGATTACCTAAAACTTTTCTTGGCAGCATGGGGTTAATGACAAATCTGTTCTGATGAAGTAACCAGTATCCAGGTACAGAGTGCAAGTAGGTTTCATTGCTAAAGGTCTGATCCCAATAGCTTAAAAGTCAGTGACAGCATTCGGATTAACTTCAGGAGGATTTTGATCAAGTCTAGTGTCCATAAGAAGGAAGATTAGACAATAAGGAGAATATCTTTTAGGGAGTATTCTAGATTTCCAAATTTAGGAAAGCAGTGTTGACCATGCTTTAGTTATTGCTACAAATACAAGGCATGCAGCTCATTTGATGCTTATATAATATTTTAAGTGAATCCACTTTGATACAAATGAAATATTTTTAGTAAATCCACTTTGATACAAATGAGTACAATTTACATCACTTAGATACAGCTACCACTGTGATAAAATACTAAGAAGGTTTTCAGGATGCCAGATCTCCTCATTACTCAGTGGGTTTCTTCTGTTAAGTAATCTATTCCTTTCATTTAATGGTTGTTCTTTTTTTATATTTATTTGCATTAGAAAAAATAATTCATGTTGGCAGATGGAAAATATGCCACCCCAGGACTCATGTGGATGTGTAGCTGGACAGGAGGTAGGTCATTTTATATTTACTTATGTATGTAAAAAATATGTAAGTGGATATTATTTCTAATCCTTGGCTGCTGAGAAAGGCTAGAGAAAGGAACGAAGCAATAAAGCCTCAGAGCCCTGCTTTGTTATAATAGGAGATTTCTCTCTATTTCATCTAATGTTTGAGCTACATGTTCTGAAGCCTTCAGGGAAAGAGTTCACACAATTTTCTTGTTTACATATACGTATCTGAAAAAACAGGATCAGAGATGACTGAACTATTTTCGGAAGATGCAACTTCACTTTAAGTACGTTATAAGACATTGCAAAAAGACCAAAAACTCGTAAAACAAGGTTAAAACATAACACTTCCATAATATAAGGAAGACTACGTACTTCCCAAGGCAAATGAGGGTGATCCTGTCTGCTTGAATGCACCAGGCAATTTATACATGAATGAGATTAATATTTAGAATTTAGTTTTGTATTGGATTTTGTATTTGAAAATAAAACAGCCTTCAAGAAAAGAAAGGATTTTTTAAAAAATATAATTAATTTCTTACCTTCTTGACTGGTGAGTTTTCCTCCTGACTTGTTCTGAGTTGAGTAATGAACAAGAATGTTAAGCTGTGTCTGAGGTGACAAATGTATTTCTCTGAATGGGTCCATCCTATCAAATAACTTCTTTCTCTCATAAAGATATAACTATTTAGAGTAAGAGTTGTGTATGAGCTATAGCAATAGAGTTTTGAGAAAAGTGGAAGAAGGGAACTAATTTTTTGCTTTTCTGGACAAGGAATAACTTTACCTCTAATACTAATGAGATGTATACTTAACATACAAGAAGATTGAATAAAATAAGAATGAGAACTCACATAGGGAGAGGCCTATTAACCATGAAAGCTCAAAGGAGAGGAGTCACTTGAGAGTGGAGGCAGAACCTGTATCTAGGATCAATGGAAGAGCAATCCCTGAGAGTGAATTTTTAATTTCTGTAGGGTTGAGATGTCAAATAAGCATTAGAAACTTTTGGTTGATATACATAATACACTTTATAAGGCTTCCAAGATAACTGATCATATTATCTGTCTCCTTTTCTTTGGTTTTGAGAGTATCCCACTGAATCATTAGAAGACATCTTCCTTTATTCTTTTCTGCAGTCCATCAATGAAATTTTTAGAAACATATAACACTAATTGTAATTTTACTTTCATCTCATACTTACCTGGTGCCTTTTTTATGTTTCTTCTCAGACACAACAAATAAGTAGCAGTCTTGCCTTTTCCATTGCTGTAAACCTTTCTAAACACATACAAGTTTTGATGTTTTCAAAACAAAACCGACTGACAGGGTTGTAAGAGAAATCAAAGGTAGATCTAACATATAGGCGACACAGTCATTTGAGATGCCTTATAAACATAAAACTATACATAATTTATTGAAAAGCTGTCAACACTGAGAAAGGCAAATCCAGTTGAAAAGAAATTCTGTAAAATCTACACAAAAATCAAAAATTATGACCAAATGTAGTACCACTGACTTTTAAGAGTGCTTTACTTATTTTATGTATACTGTTTTTCAGATGTGCCCAAGTTTCAATACCTCTGCTCCCTATGTAAAGAACAAGAAAGGACATATTTTATATAATCTTTCAGGGTTCCTTGTGGAGGAGTATTTAGTGAGGCCTTCCAACAAAACAAGGTAACCTTAAAATATCTAGCCTTTGCTTATCCTTTGTGTATAAAACCCACAGTCCTTCCTGATCCAAAGCATAGACCTATATCACTGAGAATACAAGGGGTAGTTGCCTTTATCTGTTGGTTGTTGTCAAGGCATAGAGTCAAGCTACCTTTCAAGGTACGATGAAACTCCCTCCATGGTCAATTCTCAGAACTTCCTGCAGCAGTTGCATGGTGATGGCCTCTAGGCATACTCTGGCTTTTCTTGCCACATAGCAGACTTATTTCAACATCTCAGAGATGCATATCTAAATCAGGTGAACGATATAATTTCCATTCCTCAGAGACTCAATCAAATAGAGGTGGATATGCTCCATTTAATATTTTCTTTGAAGTAAAAACGACTGGTATGCCCCTGGCAATACTTCATATTCTGTGACAGCAGCCACAGGTTATCTACTGTATTTTGAAGTTTAGTTATGTGCCTTTACAGCTCAACCACTGCCTATGATGTAAGCGCAAATACTAGACCATGTATGATTTTATCAAGAAGAACGTGTTAGCCACTTTATGCACTAAAAAAGAGTGCATCTGATTTGATGTAGAGTTAAACCTCTTAGGAGGAAAGATCTGAGCTAGAATATGAATGAAATAGGAAGAAATCAAGCTGAATAAGATGCTTCTGGAAGTCAGTAATACCTCCCTTACTCACGATCCCTTCTGTTGCACAGGGAATTCAGCTTTCAGAAAGCACGAATTCTTATCTAAGGAAAGCCCTTTGTTGGAAATGAGACAATAATGTTCACCTGATTCAAGAGTATATTGACCCCCTCCTTTTTAATGGGGAAGAGGTTTGTGAGGGGTGAAGTTTTATTTTCAGTTGAAAAATAAAGCACTAATGTAGCTATTCCCACTTTACCCTTGCAAGAAAAGACTGGGAAGCTTAACTCAGGTAACGTTTTGTTACTTTATTTTCTACTACTAGATATGGTGGTTGGTCTTTTGGAGGGAGGAAAGCACTTGAACTTCAAGATACAAAACTGAATAAAACCAGATCTCAGACTCTGGCTAAGGTAAGGTTTGCATGTATATGTGCACATCTGTATGTATGTATTGCTTACTTATTCAGGCTCCAGACTTCACAGCACTTAACAAATAATAAGTCGTTACATACAATCCTTGCACTTAAAAACTGGGAGAAAGTCACTCTGTCTATGACAGCCTACTTCTCTGTTCATAATTCTTGAAGTATTCTCCTGTGTTCTGAGAAACATTTTTAAATGAGTCAAATGATCAAGCTTTTGTTGTTTGCTTGTTTGTTTGTTTTTCCAGTGAACTCATTTCAGAGTCTAACTTAGCTCACCTTTAAAACTTTTTTTAGGTAGTCAGCCCAGATTTTTCTTTTTATTTGTTTTCTATAAAAAGCTAATGTCAGAATTGACAAAAGTACATTGAACATCATGAAAATGAGTTGTTATTGATGCTTCTTCCATGCCTGCAAGGAATACTTTGCTACATTTCTCTCTTCTCCTGAGAGTAAAGATGTCTTCTAGGAGTAGCTACTTCTGCATAACAAATATGCTACCCTTTTCTCAAAAGAACCTTTCTAAAACATTCCAGGGAAAACAGAATCTCCTGCATTGATAAGTGCCTGTTAGCCTCCAGGTGTCATCTCAAGCTTTCACAGTATGGAGATACTGTAGCTCTACACTGCATGCCAAAAGGCCTCAAGTAAAAACTCTTTATTTCAATTGTCCTTAGAGTAATCCTTCTTTTCTGACTTTTGAGATCCGCTCAAAAGCAGATGCGTTAAGAGTAGAGGAACAGCAGTCTTGGAGGAATATTGATGCGTATAGGTGAGGGGTTTCTACTTTTTTATTCAAGGCAAACAAGATTTGTTAAGAGGAAGCTGTGGACTTTTCAGGTTCCAGATTAGAATATGAAAGAAAGATTCTTCTGCCCTTAATATGTTTTATGGGAATATAGATTGTATATGCTCTTATGAAAAAAAAAATAGTACCGTGTAAATAACCTCTATCCCAAAATCCACTTTGGGACAAAGAGTTGAAACAACATACAGATATTTGCCAGTCCAATATCATTTTACATTTAGTTTTGCAAAATCACTGCCTGTTTCCAATGTCTTTACCATGTAATTTTGTTAAAAATCTCCCCGTTTTACATACATACCCTAACATATATATATATTTTCATTTTGATCATTTGTAATCTCTCTTCTACCCCATATTTCTTACAGCTTTGAACTCCAGTTCCATCAATCCTTCATTAAAAATTTGAAGTTTTACAGGTTGTTGGTAAATTGTGTTTTTCTGACTGCTGTTTTTTCCCTATGTATCTTTAATCATTTTAGACACTTGTTTTGACATGCTTGCCCTATGGTTCTTGTCGGGGTCCTTTTTTTTTTTTTTTAATGTATTTGGCATAGAGCTCCACCTGCTATCAGGACAGGGATAAATTAAAGTTACACTATTAGTAAGTAAGCTTCATATTTCAGATCCAAAGAAAATAGTGGAGTAAATTTATAAAGGGCAATGTGTTATCTAAAATACCTCTTGGAAGTGTCTTTCAAATGATACAATGTCAAACTATTGTATTAACCTTTCAGTAATTAATGACCAGACTTTTACTTTGACCTTTCAGGCTTGTTCACGAGACAGTAAATGTACCATTTACATAGACCGGTACGAAAGAAAATGAGAAATTTACATTTGAAGAGAATTACTGTAAAATTCACTTCATTTTAGAAAATTTCTGAATATACATTGTTTTCCTCTACTCAAAAAGCCAACAATTTTTCCTGTTAAAATTATAAACACTTATTCAATACCTATTTTACTGTACCTAACCATACCATGCTGCATATACTACATACATGCTACATGCATGCACACAAAGAATCTGTATATGTGCACACAACAAATGTAGCTGACTGAAACCATTGATTATTGGCATTTATTGATGGTCAGTGCGATGTAGCAAAAGCACAACCCCTCAAATTTTTTGTATTTTCATGACTACATAGTCTTTGGTTTCCTTTGGTAATATGGGCAAAAATTATTCATTAATGATTTCAGTCGCTATTTTTTATAACATAACAAAATATAGGAAGAACATGTGTTAATTTTAAATACTCCTGAAAGGCTATTTGTACTGTTCATGTGGCATTCTGAAGAGTGTATTTTTCCAGTCCCAAATGTTAGGACTTGAGGCTTTACTGTACAGTATTTGAATAAGTGTCCAGAGGAAGTTACATCTCTCCTGTCTAATATCCATCCTGAATCTGGTTCAGCAATGCTTAGGGATTTCTCTGCTCCTTCTCATCCTTTTTTCTTGATATGCCATTTTTTGGTTGAAATGTCAGTCTAGCTTTATGCTGGAATATTAATGGCAAGTAAAATGTTATATAATGATGTAAAACACAACTTCACAGAACTTCTATCTGATGTGGTGAGGGGTTGTGTTTTTCCTTGGGAAGGAATTTTCTCAGCCATGGATAGAATAGGGAATAGTGAAAATAAAAATTAATTACCTTGATGTATATATTTTTTCATTCCTCAGCTCCTTTCTGCCTTCTGTAAATAATTAATCACCTGTGTGGTACACAAGAAATATGAAAGATATTTCAGCTGAAATGAATATATTTCCATTTTTTTATATTTTACCTTTGCGAACAATTTTGAATAAGACACAAATCTTTAGAAGAAAGAGCTTAAATGTATCTTCTGATGAAGTGAACAACCTCAAATGTCTCTTTTGCCACATTATAATAAATTAAATATCCAGCTTCAATTTGGTTATTTCCTGGTGGTTTGATTCAGTTACATAATGCAGCTTGAAGGAAGAATTCTAATTAACATGTTGGATATTGAAATGTATTGTTGCACACAATGCTCTATTGTGTTTTTTGAATATTCATTTGAATTTTGGCTGAATTATTATAAGTTGTTCTCTGAATACTCAAGACCTTTCCCCTGCTTCAATTAAATGAGGATGTGTTGTCAGAGATTTGCTTTAATGTTTTCTTAATTGTCTTTCTTTTCAATACAATGAACACAATTGCAGTGGAGTTTCATTATGTGCGTACATATAGCTTTCTATTTGGCATAAATCTTTTTCAAAAGGATAGAAAGAGATGGATATGTGGGGGTGTGAAAAAGACTGGTTACCCTTGGTCACTTGTTTGTGTGTCTTTGCTCTGGTTGCTATTTGCACAGGAGATTCTGCAGTGCAAAGATTTTCAGTTTTTCTCAGGACACTTAGGTTTTCTTTCACTACATTTTTTTTAAAGAACTCTCCTTTTCATTAATGAATGGGAGATCTATTTTGTGTAATAATTTGTGGGAACTGAACTGGAGAAGAACATGGATTTACAAAAGACAGGTCCTACTTGACCAACTTGACCTCCTTTTATGAAAAAGTGACCTGCTTAGTAGGTGAAGGAAAGGCTGTGGGCGTAGTCCATCTAGGGTTCAGAAAAGTGTTTGAACATCGTCTCCCACAGCATCCTCCTAGAAAAAGTGGCTGCTCACGGCTTGAATGGGTGGAGTGGCTTGAGATCCATTTGGCAGAAAGGGACTTGGGGGTGCAGTTGACCTCCAGCTCAACATGAGCCAGCAGTGTGCCCAGGTGGCCAAGAAGGCCAAAGGCATCTTGGCCTGTATCAAGAATAGCGATCATCCCCCTGTACTTGGCAGTGGTGAGGCCACACCTTGAGTGCTGTGTCCAGTTCTGGGTCCCTCACTTTAAAAAGGTTATTGAGATGCTGGAGTGTGTCCAGTGAAGGGCAGCAAGGCTCGTGAAAGGCCTAGAAAACATGTCTTATGAGAAATAACTGAGAGAGCTGGGTTTGTTTAGTCTCAAGAAGAGGAGGCCTGGGGGAACTTCGTCGCTCTCTACACTACCTGAAAAGAGGTTGTAGTGAGGTGGGGGGCTGGTCTCTTCCACCATGCCTGCAGTGAGAAGACTAGAGGAAATGACCCTAAGCTGATAGAGAGGAGATTCAGACTAGACATTAGGAACAATTTTTTCACTGTTAGGGTGGTCAGGCATTGACATAGGTTCCTCAAGAAGGCAGTGGAGGTATTAAGGAGGAGTCTGGATCTGGTCCTGGGTGATGTGGTTTAGTGTTAGTGTTAGGTCTTAAACATCTCTTTCAAGCCCAATGATATTATAATTCTATGATTGTAAGATGCTGTTGAGATTTCAAGCAGTTATGAAGACAACATAAAGAAGAGTAGAAAATGTGAAAGGTAATGCAAGCAAGAGCAGTGGTAGATCAAAGCTGCTAAATTTTTTAGTAATGATTAATAACACTTCTGGCAAAGAAGATTCAAGGGTGAGAGACATGGGAGAAATGATAGTGGAGCTCAGAGTGGTGCTTTGAAGCATGATCTAGGATAGACGTCAGAAAATAGAATGGAGAATTGGAGCATTGTAAACCTTACCTCATAAAAATGTGGAGGTCCAAGCAAGTCAAGAGAATAAATCAGAGGACAATAATTATTAAGAAAGGCAAACACGACTGAAGATTAGACAGCCTTCACTAGGAAATATAGAGGAGAACATGTAAGAAAAAAAAGCAAAATCTCAAACTAGTGTCCAATTAGGGGTGGTAGTTGAATAGTATAAGGAAAAAAAAAGGCAGAATTATCTGCAAGTAAACGAGAAGAGCATCAGAGTGATGATAAAAGAATCTTTATGGAAGTCTCCAAGATGTAACTGTGTAGATAGTAATTTTAGAAAGGATCTGAGGAAACTCAAATCCTAGAATAGGAGTGTTAAGGCAATGAAGACCTATATTAAATCCAGTTCACTTTGCAGTAAGATTCGGAATTGAGACACACAGTGAGAATTGCCCAGCATCAACTTAGGATGTTAAAAATGCAGAGAACAAATAGCTGATATCAGACGGAAAGGTTAAAAGTTCTTCAACTGTATAAACAAAAAGAGGAGATGAAAGGTTGCTATGCTGTGAAGAATGGATATTAATCAGATAGTTTTAAACATCACTAAAACTGAAAATAAACAGACATAGTAATTTGACTTAGTTTTCAGTATGGATAATGTAGGTTCAAAGGCATTATGATTAGCAGTAATGGGGGACATAAATAGAATTGATTTCTAACTGCAAAGGAAAGATCAAACCTTAGTTCAAACCATTGGGACATATCAAGCTCTCAGCAACTACTCTAGCACATAGAAGTGTGAATTAAGAGTATATTTGTCAAGTCAGGATGGTTCTGCATGATTTGAGGATAAAGTATATATTACAAGAGAATTGTTTTCCTGTGTTCCTCAGAGATACTGACTTGCCTTATCTGCCTTAAAATTTGTCTGTATAAATTTCCTCCATGCTTAACAAACCACTGATACTTGCTTGTTGAAGGTGGAGGCAGCTTTGTCCCTTATGGCATACTTTCGTACTCACCTTGTAAACGGTGCCTTCTTGATTCTTTCCTTTCCTCATTTTCTGGGATATTCTGTTTCTAGATGTTCTATGTTGTGTGTCATGTGCAGATATTATTTAGATAATTCAATTTCAATGATTTTTCCACATTTAGCACTGGTTTTATTCATATTTTTTTGTATTTACAATTAAACAGGCAAGTGTTATTTTCACATTGCTCGTCCTCTATTTTTTCACTCAAATGTACGTAAAGGAAGGGGGACACAGTGTTCCACGAAATCAAAGAATCTCAATTTCTAATAAACATTGTGTGGTGTACAGCTCCAACAATAGAAAAGAAACTGTGGTACCCTGTTGAAAGACCTGTGCAAATTAACTCGTTCTGTTGTGCCTAGTTCACTTTCTTGTATAAATAGATGTCATAACAGGAGAATTAGATATATTTATCCAATTCTTAAAGGTATGTGAGCTTTCCGATCAGCATTCAAATTCAACTTATTTTTGATTTACAATTTCCATTCTTGCTTCCAGGTGTGGTATAACCAAAAAGGTTTCCATTTGCTGCCATCCTACTTAAATGAACTAAATAACTTCATTCTGTGGATGAATTTACCTCCTAATGTGGATTGGAGAGAGTATGGTAATAGTCTTTCTTTGTATTTTTTTATATGTTTTGAAATACAGAACCAAACTAAAATAATTTTACAAATGAAAATTTTTCACAGTATAAAGTGGGATTGCAGAGTCCCATTTCTTGGAAGGATGGGAAAGTGGAAATTTTAATTACACAGAAAGTTTGTTTGTGTAAAGAATATAGTAGACAGTAAGGTAAAATTTGAATTTAAAGCTCATTATGCCATATGAGTTTTTTACAAAGACATTTCTGTGGAACAAGTGTAAATTGGTTTGCTACTCATGAGATGTTAGTACCTGTGAAACTGCTGCTAGGGCTTGCTTAAATTGGATGATTAACACGTAATAGAGTATGGATTTAAAACTTCTTTGACACTTTATCTCCCAATATAAATATCTTGGGTAAATCTAGATTATCCTGTAAATTTACACTGCAATATCATATTTCATAGACATCCTGTTACTCAAGGAACAAGAGAGGCTTCTATATATTATTATTGTACATAACAAAAGAGCCATTAATATATTTGGCATATACATTCTCTGATTCAGATATGCCTGAACTTTATAAGAACTAGTGAAAATAAAAATTTTATGAACTGACTTTTAAAAAAATGACTGCAGCCAAAGACTCAGCTGCTAACACAAGTGAACTTTTAGGATGTTGAAATCTAGTTTGAAATCTGGGTTGGACAGTTCAGATTAACTTCTGTTCATTCCATTTCCCTTCATTCTTAAGATTCTGTTAAAGAGGAATTTGATTTAGAGAAATTTAAAAATAACTTATGTCCAATTTTTAAGAGTTTTTGAAAAGGTAGGATGGCTGTCTGTAATGGTAAAATGATTTTCAGTGTGTTTATAATAAAGAAAGAAGAAAGAAAACAAAATCAGTGAAAATAGGGAAGGAATATCGAGCATCTGAATATAGAAATTCATTAAGAAAACTTTCCGGAATGTCAATGAAAAAAAGAGTAATTGCTTGCTTTCAAGATGGCTGCGGTTTTATTTTTCAAAATGAATTATGAAAACGGATCAAAGATAATGTGTTTCCACAGAAAGTTTGAATGAAGTGAAATCAGGTATTTTAATGAGTATCTTTAACAGAAATAAATTTTTAATCAACTTTTCCTTCACTTCATGCACAGTACTGATGCCTAGCTTTTTTAATGTAGCATTAGGTATCCCATTCTGTGACCTAAATATTTAAGTACCCTTACTTTTATATCTATCATGGAGAATCATGGTTTGCCATCCTTATTACAGTCAGAGAAAATTATAGTTGTCCCAAGGACTGCAGAAGAGTTTTATGTTGTTAGACAACACAGAAACACAGTAAGCAAAACAGTGCTTAAGAAATATTTGAAGTCTTGAACTGTCGTCTATACTACTATGGGCTCGTTATATAATCGTGTGGCAGAATATGTTAGTTGTCTGTGGAAGTAGAGTTGAAGAACTAGAGAGCAGTTTATTTATGTGTATATCTATTGGAGAAGTGCAATAAAAATGGATTGATCATGCCTTTGAGGCATAATGCAGAGGGACCTGTCACAGAAATCCTAGGAAGAGAGGTCAAATTACCTACCTATCTATCTGTGTGTATGTGTATGTTTGTGTACATATATTTATATACATGTGTGTGTACACACACCCGTATATATATATGTATTTTTTGTGAAGAGAGAAATACATTTGCATATTTTATTTCTAAAAAAACCTCAACAGTTTTCCAGTGCCATATGGGGCACTTAAGCTCAGTTCACTTTGCCTTTTAGCTATCATTTATTTAAGGATACTGCTCTGGTGGAGAAGAACTATTAATATGCTTTTGTTAGTAAAATTGTTGTATGTAGTCCTGTAAATTAGAAGTCAGAAGACCACACACTATGTCTCAACACTGAAATCTATTGTTATTTATTTATTTTTTTCTTCTTCCAAACTCTGTTTATATGCAAGGTCAGTTCCAGAATATTGTTGGAAATTGCTGTAAGGTAGCTTGTGAGGATGTTACAGAAAAGTAGCTTTGTAGTTCTGACTCACATTAATACTAAGTTATCTCACAGAATACCTTTTTCCTGTCAACAGAACCAGAGCTTCTGAATTACTTTTAAGTAAAACATAAAAATAATTTGACCACTGAAAAGGGACTGTTAGGACATGGTCTTTTCTTCCTTCACAGAAAAATAAATCTTGCTTTGCTGCAAGAAGCTTGCTACAATAGAGTAGAGCATTGCCATGGATGTAAACACAGTAGTAACAATGAAGCTATGACATTAAAGCAACCTTGAAAGAGGTCAACAACTTGTTTAAATACTAAGGAACTCTTTCACTTAGCAGTTATATCCTGTCTGTATTTCTTGAACATGAACCCAGAAGGCATTCTCCCAGGATCTCTGGAGAAGGGAAGAGTCATTATAGACCATGTTCTATATAGGAGTTCTGTCATTATAGCAGTTTTACCTGCTTTGCCAAGAGGGATAAATGCAGTAACTTTCCCAGGAGATCAGTAGCACTGGTCCAAGTTTGTGATAGCTTTTGATAATAAGGAGCTGAGAAGAAGGCTAAATGCTTTGGTCTAATATCTTTTCTGTAGTGAGGAGGAATATAGACAAGATTTTGTATGAAAATTTGAAGGAAGAGGTTTTACCCAAAAATACAGAGGACATATACTGTCTTGCACTGATTTATATCCCTAGGGATTTGTATCTGTTCAAAAAATGGTGAAAAAATTTTGATTATTGTTTTTGTTTTGTCAGTCCAAGTTACTGACTCTTGATCATACTGAGCATGCAGAGCAGGAAGTGATAGTTATTTGGTGATAAAAAATACTTCCTTTTTCCTGTTGTGTAATCTAATCTTCAAATCCTTTAAATGGAGGTGAAGAGATTTCTCTTCTCTCCCCACTCCTGTATGGGATTATTGGGAAGCTTCTCTGTGAGGCTGCTTGGAAAACTACAATGTTTGCTTCTTGTAATATTCATGTAAAGACTGGTATGGTTGTTGAAGAAAATGTGTGCACCAGCTGGAGGTGCATTTACTAGATGGAGCAAGAGAAGTTAGCCAGATTGATTCATGTTAGTTTATGACAGCTAATGGATCAGACATTTCTTTTGGAACAGCAATTCAGGAATACTTCTTGTATGAAAATATCTCATTTTCTCTACTATGTGGATAGCCACCTCTAGCTTCATCATCAAGTCTGTGATTCTGTTGTGGGAAAAAGAAAATCAAACTCTTCTGTTTTGCTGGAAAGGAAACCAAATGCATTTTATTTTGTAGTGGGTTATAAATTCAGTGGCAGATCATGAAAATGGACATGTTCATAAATTTTAAAAAAGTGAGAAAGACTCTTCAGCAGAAAAGGTAAGATGTACTGGCTTTTTTGTCAAAACTCTTCACCTGTATCTGGTCTTCAAGTTTAAATAAATGGTATTATTTAATCTCTTTCTGAAATGCTGCGTTCTTACAATTAGGTAAAGGAACAGTGAAATAAGAGGAATATAAAACTAAAAGGTAATATTTTTTGCTTTAATCCTAGGACAGAAATTTTGATCAAGTAAGACTATGTTATTTTTCACACCTAACTGTATACAGTTGAGTCAGTGTTTATACAGTTTATCGTACTGGAGTATAGGGAAAGGACTATTACCTACCTCTTAGAGTAAGGCAGTATAAAGAAAAAAGGAGTGGTAGCCATCTATAATGGTGTCTGTAAAGTACAGTGGTCAAAAAAATGTTCTTGCTTCATTACTTAAAGAACAGAAATGTCTCAATATAGCTGCCTCATCTCAGTATTCCTATTGAAGTCATCACTTTTTTTTAGAAACCTTTCATGCTAAGACCCATTGTAAGCTTCATATAGCACCCTCATTTATTTCAGATTCAATTCTTCAAAAGAGCTGAAGGGATCAAGAGACCCATTTTCAGCTGAGTTTTGTTGGAAAGTGCCTATATAGTTTCCTGAATGCTTTGCAAATTATACCTTTAAACCTCTTTTCAAAGAAGACTGTGAAGTGGCCTTTGGGTGGAACCTTCTTAACCATGTCTGGTTAGTGGGGGGAAAGTAAAATAGAAACCATTAATGGTAGTGCTGCCTGTGAAATTCTTCATAAAATATAAATTGTAATTTTCAGTAAATAATAATGTCTGATTTTATACAAATAGAAATATTGTCATAAATATTAAATTCCCACAAATAATATCTTGTAAAAAAGCATATATATATATACTATCTCCGTTTTCGTTATACATGTTATTATATTTTATTCTAATCTGAAATAAAATGTCTGGCATGAAGAAACTTAGCTTGATCTTCTATTCAATTCTGTACTGATCATGATATTTAGAAGTAGTAGCACAGATCCAAGTTGATCTATATACTCAAGACTCAGCATGACAGCAGAGACCGTTTACAAAGACGTGCCAAGATACAGGTTCAGACACACCCAAAACAGTGCAGAACCACAAAATGTACATGACTAACTTATGGTGATAGCATACAAGCTTGAAGACCTTTGAGATTTTTCCCTCTAGATCTCTCTAACCTCTACTGAAAAATTACTACTGGGCTCCTATCACTTTTACTGAAAAACCACAGGTTTTGTAACATGTTTATGCAGAAAATTTCACCCAGATGGGGTGGACTGGACTACCAATGCCTACTGTTCTTTATATACAGAATGGAAACATCCAAGTCTCTAAGGTTATGCCAAATTGTATGTGCCTTTTTTTTTCTGAAAAATGGTCAAATGGTTTAGATGTGAAATAGAAGATCTAGAGCAGTTTGTCTTGAAGGTACTGTTTGCAGATAGTTAATGAGCTTTTGCTATGGGGAAAGCTGTCTTGGGTTATGTAGCTCCTGAATGGCAACAGGGCAGGATGTTTGTTGTTCGTATCAAGCATGTCTAATGTGGATGCCTTTTTTCCTGTGAACTTTTCTATCCAGAAAGGAAAAGTATAGTATTCTATTCCAGAGAATGTTCTAAAGGCTTCTAAAATTTTATGAAGAAC